AAAAAAATTGCTTTATATATCCAGGTGCTCTGGTATCAGATGCATATATTTACATGCATCTGATACCAGAGCACCTGGATATATAAAGCAAATATTATTAGAGTTAAGGGAGAGATAGACCTCCCCAATGCAATAATAATTGGAAACGTATATACACCACTTACAGCATTGAACAGACCATCTATATAGGAAAAAAACAAAGAAACATTGAATTTTAAGATGCATTGTTAGGTTATTTAAAATCTTTCTACATTTTTGATGTAGGCACTTATTGCTTTAAACTTTACTGTATCCCTTAGGTTTTGGTATATTGTGTTTTCATTCTCATTAGTTTTAAGAAATTTTTAAGTTTCTCCATAGATTCTATAGACCAAATGGACCTAACAGACAGTTACAGAACATTTCATTCAACAGCTGCAGAATACACATTCTTCTCATCAGCACATAGACTATTTTCCAGGATAGACCTGTTAGACCACAGATCAAGTCTCAACAAAATTTAAAATGTGAAAATCATGTAAAGTATCTTTTCAGACCACGATGGAATAAACCTGGAAGTAAATAATAAGAGGAACTTTGAAAACGTTACAAATACTTTACAAATTAAATTACATGCTCTGGAACAGCCACTTGGTCAATGAAGAGAGTAAGAAGGAAACAAAGAGTTTCTGGAAACAAATGAAAATAAAAACACAACATACCAAAACCAAAACCAAAGGGATACAGCAAAGTTTTAAATAATAAATGTGCCGCCCCCCCCACCCCCACTCTGGGTCTTGGGCGGCCTCAGGGAGGGCAACCTCCACCGCTCTGCGCCTGCGGGCACCCTCCGGGCTCTCCCAAGCGACCTGCTCTTGGGCGTCACGGGCGGTGGCTCGCAGCAGGGCACCCTCCAAGCCCTTGCAGGGCTCTGGGAGGGCGGGGCCCTACGCTGGCGACAGCCTTAAAGGAGGAGAACCTGTTAGGATCAGGACTGTACGGGTTAACTGGGGAAGCTGTGATTATAGGCTCGTTTGTGTTCCAAATTCTGATGGGGTTAGTGATGGAATCTGCCTCAGTTTACACCGAGTTCTCTGGCTGAAGAGGAAAAAAAATCAAGGTGAATGAAGAACATGAGTCTTTCCCCAAAGGGGATAGAAGGTGGGGAAGATGAGATAGCAGAAGATAAGGACAATGGCAGTAGAGATGAGAGTCTATCAACAAAACACCTGGCAAGCGGAAGAAGGAAATGGCCAAACAGATAGCCTCCCCTGAAAACAAAAAACAGAAATTAGGAGATTTGAAGAAAGTTGGTGCTATCTGTGGGCTAAAGAAGAAGGAGTGTCAAGTGGAAAAAAGCGAACACTTCCGACATAGTCTTCTGTCTGAGTTTAATAGAGGAGTAAAGGCGGCTCGAAACATCTGTGCCCTGTACGGGGAGAAGGCCGTCGGGGAAAGCACGGCAAGAAAATGGTTTTGCCGTTTCAAAGAGGGCCACTTTGACCTGAGCGACTCTCCACGTTCAGGAAGACCATCGGGCCTTGATGTAGACCGTTTAAATGCTGTAACCCATGAGGACCCATGCCAGTCAACCCGAGAATTAGCAGATGTGATCAACTGTGATCAGTCAACCGTCGTGGGACATTTGCATTCCCTGGGCAAGCGGAAGAATGCTACGAACTTATGCATCCACCCAGTAACTTGTTTAATCTGTAAGACAGTCCTCAGTGGTAACTGTTATCGTTATCCCCGTCTTACAAAGGAGGCAATTGAGGAACAGAGAAGTTAAGTGACATGC